AATCTGACCTGTGGTATTTGCATGTGGTCACAAGATTGGATGTGAACGTGTCAAAGAATATAGTAACAATGCAAGCAACAGCTAGACTTTCTTGGAATACTTCAAGGAATACAGTGGATTTCAGTGTCTGCAGGATGTACAATAAAAATCACGAATGCAAAAAAAATGAGGCCTCTCTCACTCACCATGTCTGAATAATTGTGTACACAGCAGCAGCTGATTAGAACTGTGGATCAGCTCTGTTAAATCAGGAGGATGGCTAGTTGTGTCGTGGTGATGCGTGCTGCAGGGTTCGGTTCAGCCAGCAGCGAGAGCAAACCTTTTTGACCTAGCCTGCCTGCCATGTCCTATTGTTTTTCCAGCACTGGAAAGACCACTGATGGAAATAGGAGCTATGAGTCAGTGCAGAATAAGCACTGTGATAGACTCCACAGATGCTACATTTGTAGCATGCATGGAAGAGGAGAATTTTGCCCTTGGCCTGTAAATTACAGACTTATGCATAGGATTGTATGTGGCTCATTTTAAAAAAATCATTATGGGTCCTCTCTGATGTTAGATGGCTTTAGTAGTTATAGCTAAGATTGTAAACTCTTTTTTTACAGAGAAATGTTCCACTGCATTTTATTCCTCCTTGATTTTTTATAAAGTCTACAGAAGAGCCATGGAACTGAACACAACTACATAACCAAAAGTGAGAAGGTTTATAACACTTTGAAATGTAAACGAAACAAGATATTTAATAATGGTCTTTTGATTTGGAATTTTCTTTTTCTGTTTTTATCAGAAAAAATTAATTCATAGGTCTTAGAGACCTTGGATATGATATGTAGACGTTGTCCAATTCATGGCACTGAAACACCTCTTTATTCATTACCTGTATCTTATGAAACAGACAATGGTTGAGTGAAAATGTAAACGGAAAAATAACATTGAGTGATTCCTCTCTTCCTGTGTAGCACCATCTAATTCCTGATGTAAAGCTGTCCATCACCAGATTCTTGCTAAACTTCCTGCATGGTCATACTGCAGTTTTGGACTAACGCTGAAGATACATTAGTGCATTTGACTTTGTTATAGTGTAGGTTTGCATGTTGTCCTTCATGTGTTGTCTGTTACTGTAATCCATAGCTCATCTTTTTCTCTCCTGCTCTAATGAGTGTCCTTATCATTGCGTAGCTTTCTTGTTCCTTACCTGTGATCTTTTAATCTTTTTGGGATGTTTTTTTCACTAGCATTAAAAAAATGTGAATTTCCATGTTGAGCAGAACTGTTACATTTCGGAGTTTAGGGCAAAAGGGTAATCTCCTCTTGAGTGTGATTTTGCAGTATAGAATTTTTAATCACCTATACACTTAGTATAAGATAATGTTTAGCATTTTATTTTGTGACATTGATTCAATAATCATTAAGTATAGAAGCAGCACTGTTACTCTAGTAGGTTTTTTATATCCTTTTACTATAGAAGGTACCTGAATTTAATTTCCATAGCAGTAATTCTTGCCTTTGTCAATGTTACCATATTGTCCTTGAAAAGTAGGGTATTTGTAAGGAAGATTTCTAATCTCTAGAGAGAGGAAATATTGGTAATCAAATATTGGTAATCAAATATGCAATTAAAGGTAAATTAATCACGTGGATATTTTGAAAATATCCAACTTCCTACACATGTGAACTCGCTGTCTTCAACAGTACTGAGCACTCCTTTGTGCAGATACAGCCCATAGACTTCTGTGAATGCACTGCTGTGTGACACTGGGAATAGACAATTCATTTATTCCTTCTTGTAGAGGATGGTGAACAGAAAAATCTTTTCATATTTGCATCTTATTGGTATACCTTTCTTTGTCAAGCAGCATCTCCCTGAAAGGAAATGTCTACAGCCAATGATCAATTAACTTTTTGATGGTTTTCTTCAAGTTCTCTTGGTTTGATCACATTTTTAAAAAGATCTCAGCTTAGTAATATTCACGTCTTTTAACATGGTTGATTTGTTTAATACAAGCATTTTGAAATCAGAAAAATAGTTCTATAACCTAAATTATGTCTTCTTCATAGAAATACATTCATAAAGAATGATTTGCAGTAGCACTGCTAGATGAGCCAAGACCAAAGGAGAAGGCTTTCATTGTGTTGCAGTAAGCAGCACAGTAACTGGACTTACCTGAACAAAACCTCTTGGAGACAATTTGTAGGAAAGGAGACTTTAGAAGACTTCAGAAGAGAAACTGAAGAATGTATTGAGGAGGAAAAACTAGTCACTAGAAGGAGGATGTAGTGAAATGTAAGAAAGGAGACAATTATCATACACCTTCCTCTGTCTCATCTAATGGTTGGCTTTCTGATCCCCACTTATGCTTCTGTATCGCTTTAATACTAATCAATACGAAACAGCAGTATCTGGATTTTTCCTGCCACACAAATGGTAACTTTTCACATAATTTTATTTCATTCCACTCTATGAAGAGCTTTTTTTAAAAAAAAAAAATCCACCAAACTTCTCGTTTTTTAGGGACAAATGGATATTCCTGTTAGAATGTACACTCAAAGGCCTTTCAGTCCTAGGTGAGATCCAAAGACTGGAAAATAATATTCCACCTCAGTGAGTACTAATGAAAGCCTAGGTAGTGGCATAGGCAATCAATAACATCTTTTAGTTGCTCACAGTAATGAACGTAATTTGTATACACACATACATACATGTATTTAAAAATATATATAACAGATGTTGTTATGTGTTACGCAGTCTAAAGTACGCAAAAAGTAACACCTTTGAGTTGTTGTCTAGAGGTACTTCATGTTGTCTTGAATGAATTTTCAGTTTCTTATCATGAATGGTTTGTAAATCTGCTGGTTTTGAGGAATACTAATGAAAGATCCACTTTATGTAAAAAAACGGTGTTAGGAGCATGCTAGGGGAGCTCATTAACGATTCAGGATGCTTGGTTTCAGTTTCTCCTCCGTCCTTTCACGAGGCAAAATCCAATCAATACTTCTCTTTCAAGGTCACAACTGCTGCTTAGTCTCCGTCCTTTTCACAACCCTTGACCAACCATATGAGTGTTTTGGAGGATTTAGTTACTAATTTAATCAATGTTTTTATCAGTAGCTCTTAGCATAGTCAGGCTTGGACAGAAAACCATATTATTATGGAGAGGGCTCTGCCCTGATCCTAGTACAGGGATGCTGTGCTTGTGAATGGCATATGAAATGTCTCATTTCATGTAGACATCTGTACTGGTTTTGGCTGGGATAGAGTTAATCTTTTTTCATAGTAGCTTGTATGGAAACCACAGCAACATCATATTGCTGAGCAAGGTCTGCTTTTTGAAATTTAAATTCTGTAGTTTAAAGTTGATATTTAAGATCTGTTAACTTGAGTTGAATAAGCTGAATGTAGGAGCTAAAAAAGTTGGTCCGGTGTAAATTTTATGTTGGCTGAAAACCAGCAAATAAAATGTAGGGCATCTTCTCTTCTTTCACCTGTTTTTTAGGAAAATCTAGACGCATAAAGGTCTGAAGTCATGGTGGAATTTGGAGTTACCGTAATAATTTCAGGAGTGAGCTCCTGGAGTTCAGCTTTATTGTACAATATTATGAACACATTTAATGAGTTGAACGTGATGAATCCAAATTTGCTGTGGGTCATAATCCCTAATCAGTCAAAGAATGTCCACAGTTCACTTTACTCATTCTACTGACATTGTATTTAATGTGGACCAGATCAGTTTTATATGTATTCTCTGGCTTTTATGCTGTTAATAAAATGCTAGTAGTAGATCTGTTTTGATTGTTTTTCAGTGTAGTACTAGGACCTTAATATAATTTCCAAGGAAAAAGCTGTTCAGTGACTCATGAAATATGTTGGAGGGACTTTGTATATACATATATATAAGTATGCAGTTCCACAATTTTTTGAGCAGTATAATTCACATAGATTATTTAAGTTGAGCCCTGCCATTTGGCTGGGGTTTGCTTTTATATGTTTTTCATATTTTGATGTTTGTTTCTACATTGAATTCATAATGCATGTCCATGTCTGTTGGCCACAGATCTGTTGCCTTTGCATGTGAAATTCATTTTTTCATGTGGCAAATCATACTTAGCACTGATATCTGAAAACTCAGGACAGAGAGGCTTGAATTTGCAAATCTTTTGTTTATGTTCATTGTGTTACCTCATGCTGAACTAGCATGGACTGTAACAAGAGGAGACATAGAAACTTGTTTTGCTACATTGGTATCTCCTGCCTTACAGGAAGCAGCAAGGGAGCACCACGTTCTCCAGTACAACAGACAGCAACTTGCAGAAGCTGCAGGCAATGCAAGTTGGTTAGAAGTTAATTTCAGTACTGGAAGTAAGGAGTAGGGCCAGGTGCTGAAGAAGCTATTTTGATGTTTGGTCTTCTGAGGATTCTTTAATGTAGCGAATTACTGACTTGGCTGTTAATGAATTGGATTTTTGCCTCTATGTGATCCCCAACAAAAGTGAAAGTCCCAGATAAAAACCATAAACCTTGAGCAATAAAGTGCTTCATGCAATATGACTAAGTGTTGACCCTTGACTTCAGTGAGGGCTGTTTGTACATTAAGTTTATCTTTGCAAGCCAAGGATATACATCAAGAAGAATTTCGCCAGTGGCTGAAGAATATCTCCTCACTGCTTATCATAAAGCATGATATAACAGTTTTTTCATAAATATTTTTAACCCATGCATATTTTTATAGCTCTAAAACACATGTACAAGATGTGTGTGGTAGAGTCCAGTTCAAAAAACATCAGTTAATAGCAGCAGCCCTCCTCATAGTACATATTGTTAACTGTGAAAAACGTGAACTGAGAACAATCTAGAATTATCACAGTGGATGTTTTCTCTCCTGCAGAGTAGGATAGAAAATAAAACCATTGGTGAAGAAATATAAATATTAAAAAAGAGTAGAATTGGCAATTGCAAACCAAACACTTGACAATTGCATTAATGGTAATGCATTCCATTCCAGTTCATGGTGAAGTAAAAGGAGTTGGTCTGGTAGACCAAATATGGCTTTCATTGCAAGACTGCGACAATGAAGGTGAGATGCTAAAGCGCTTCGGACTCTTAATGTATAAAAAACAAGGATTGTATTGTTTTTAAATATACCTCCTGAATTTACAGAATTATTTATTCTTAGAACAGATGTCATTATAAAATACTACATTTGTTTTCAGTTTTATTTCCAGGATGTATCTATCCTACTGTGTATATATACATCTATGTATACATTTTTTGATCGAAAAAGTATATATGCAGTCAAAATTGTGAATAATTAATGGTGCATGTTAGGTTCCCTTATGAGTCTGGGAAGTTATTTTTGTGTAAATATCAAGGCTTTGAGCAGGACTTGAAAGGAATTTTATTCTATTTAAATATTTGATAAATTGGGATAGACTAAGTAACTGTGAGAATGTAACTTGCTGTCTTGTTTTGTTCATTACAAATACGTTGTGAAGCCGTTGGTAAGAATCCATTTGGTGTAAGCAAACCCCACTGTATATCTAGGGAATAAAGTCCCAAATATCATGTGTAGACTGGTGTCTTTAGATAAGTGGGTTTTGGTTTATTGTTTTCTTAAGTTTGCTAACATGTTTTCAATCATCATCTTATTTTCCAGTCCAGCCAAGAATAAAATTATAAGAGCTCTCAAGTACCCGTTAATACATTTTTCAGACAGAATGTCAAAAATTGCTTTCTGTTCCATCAATATTGATTCACGGCACCAAGCCTAAATAATCAGAACTGGCCAAATACCAGGCTTTTGTGTCCTACGTTAAAAAAATTGATACACATATTTCTGAAATTATTTAACCAGTTGCAATACTGGTATGCATTTCACATAACTGACTCACCTCTTCCGTTGTACTTTAAGTAATCAGAAGTAGCTCAATTCTGTATTATCTGTTAAATGGTCTCCCTGGGGAGTAGGCACAGTGTGTGTTTTGCCTGTACTATATAACTTCACTCGGTTCTGGGGCAAAGCACAGCAGTGTTTGAGGGTAGCAGTATGCCATCAAAGCAAATGGAGCTAGGGTACATTCTCTGGCCCTTTGGGAAAGGCATAGATTATGTCCATATTGTTAAAACTCTCTTCTCCCTCATCCCTCAAATAAGGTGGCCTCGTACATACTGTGTATTACAAATGGTTCCTGACCCATACTCTCCTTTGAACTGTGCTGGGACGTTGTCTGAGAGAGTGCTATTTATTTGATGCAGATTTAGTAATTGCAGATGAAAAAGAAAATACACCTTTGCTCAAGCCTGGGCTCTGGCCTTTTTATTTACTAACACAAATGTGCCCTGAGCCTCTTTGTCTTTGAAGTCCTTAGCTTAGCGGATAGGCCTGGAAGCAACTAGTCCTGCAAATCCTATTTACACTAAAGAGTTTTTGCCTTGTTAACAACTTTTTGGATTTTGCTGTGTGTCTGTCTGAATTCACATGATTACTGTGGTAGAGTGGAGTCATTCAAGCTCTAGTTTGCAGCGGCCTTGCTCCAAGCAAGACTGAGTTTATTTTCTGGGAGGAAGTTGAGGACATGTGGATGAGATGGGAACCCCATCTCATGAAAGGAAGGCAGGTGTTAGTTAGCCTTGTTGGTGATTCTTCCTGCAGCAGCAGTAGCACAAGTGGAGTGCACCGCCTTGGCCAGTCCTAGCAGCATCATAACTGAAGCATTGTTGGATTCCTGACCTGCAACTGTTGCAGGCTGGGACCTGTTCGAAGCCCAAAGGTAGGCAGTCCTGTTTACCTGACCAAAGAAAAGCCAGGTGTATTGGTTTGGCTAGCTATTGATTGAAAAAGCAAAGGGACTTGACTGTGAAAGCTGAGGACTCTGAATTTCTTAACCTGTGCATTTAGGGAGAGTTGTCACCGAGTAAAATATCAGTCACTCTTCTTTCAGAAGAAATATATCTTATTTCAAATGCATTTCAAGCATTTTGTTAACCTTAATATGGCTACAAGACCATTCTTTATGTAGAAAGAGGGAAATTCAGAAAGCACACCTTGGCAATGCTACAGAAGTAACTGAGCAATAGCAACATTCCTTTCCTGGTTCTGTTCCTATGAAGTTATATGATGGTAATACATTTGTGAGTGATTTTCTTTGGTTGGGTAAGAGGACAGAAGTTTGTTCCACAAAGCACAGGGAGGAAAAGGATATTTCTGTTGCTGTTCATACAGCTTGCAAAGTTATGTTCCTAGTGCATTCAGTAGTAAACAAATAGTATTTGAATAGGGTATATATGATATATAGAATACTGTTTGCCAGATGTGGATGAGAAACCCAGCAGCTCCAGCTGCAGGAACACAGTGTCAAATAAGAGAACAAACTTACTCGCTTACTTGCTAATAGCCTCCACTGACAGTTATGGCTGCAAGCAGCTAAACGTGGTATCCATTATAGGCTCATGTCCAATTTATCTCCTGTTAATTAGGTTTATACTTACATGGTATTGTTTAGTAAAATTGTTTACTTTCTCCTGTAAAGTCACTGAGTCTTCAGATGGGGCTTTTTGACTGTAATTTAGGTGCAATTAGCCTTTTAAATACAGTGTGTGTTTTGTTCTGTCAAAAAGGTGCTGTAAGAGGTAGCATTCATAAATATAAAGAGTAGGAGCTTTCCTTTTTCTCAAGACCATTTTCCTTCTCCATTCCTTTGTGTATCTTGTGAAGAGTGGTCCTTTGAATGGAGATCCATTTGTGCCCATATAAATCTGAGAACAGAGTGTAGCAAACCAAGGCTAGTCTGGAGCAAGTGCAGATTGTTTTCACTTTGGCTCCAGGCAGCTGTGATTCAGAAGACTCAAACTGCTTCACTTAGAACTGTGTGGTGCAGTATTTTTCCTTAGAAATATTCTCCATCTTCTGTGTTTGGGAGGAATCATGGGGACATTTACAGCCAAACAGTGTTTTTGTTGTGATTCCAACTTACTGTGGTATCTGGGGAGAAATAAAAGTGAAAGAAGAGGTGCAGGACCTGTATGTGTATACTTCAGGCTGCCTACAAAATGTGTGCCAGACTTTGAGATGGCTTTTCAGGAGTGTAGATCCAGACCATGAGGTTCATGAGGATACATACCATACCTTATCCTTCTCTTCCCTCAAAGCACATGTGTTGCTGTGAAGGGAGACTGATGTAAGTAAGGTTCAGTGGAAGGCAACCGTAAGATTGTCTCTTCCCTATGCTGTGTCATTAGAATTTGTGGTAAGAGGTGACTAGCAGGGTTTTTGGGGTATTTTATGGTTTTCCCTATGTTACCTACATTTTAATTTTCCTAACAGGAGAGAGTTTGTGGGGTGTAATACTTGAGTCAAGATTGTATCAAAATGGGGCAGTGATCTCTGGCCTTGAGACCTTAAAGTCTGCACAGGATGGAGGAAGAGAAAATGCAAGGAAATGATGTAGTAGCGTTCATGGAGCAAAACAGTAACTGGGCTAGCAGAGATTTGGCTCTTGGTTGCTTGCTGTCAGTTCATTATCCTGGTCATTGACCATACACAAATCAGTTTTTTTAAGAAAGATCACTAATTGCCAAATGGAAGTGCTTGAATAGTAGTGACTGTAAAGAAAGGCAGTTGAGATTAATGAAGTAAAAAAAGAAAAGAACTATTTTACTAGAAGCACTCAGAGATTAAGATATGCATCTTGTAAGAAGAATTCAGACTTCACAGACACTAAGTAAAATGTCAAAGAAGGGAAGCTGGAGAATTGCTCAATAACAGCTATGAGGCCTGTAATGATCAAAGGAGTTAATATTGTTGTAAGACAACACTAAGCAAAATAATCAATTTATAAATGGATTATATATGACATAGTTCCGTAACTCTTACTGTACTAGAATGAGCAACATTAGTTCCCTAATTTGTATGTTAAAACCAGCTTGGCAGTTCTTGTGAAAAGGCCATATATTGATAATGTAGACTATCTATTGATCCTGGGCATTATGCAAGTTAATGTGATGGTAAAGTTGGCTTCAGTATTCAGGTAGAGACAGAATAGTTTCAAAGTTGACAGTGATTCTCTTTTGCAAAAGGGTAATACATAATTATGCTATAGCCTTCATGTGCTCTGATCTTCTTTCTTGTGGCTGTGAACTGACACCTGCCAAAAGTGTATCTGTGTAGTAGCATTTCTGTTATCTTACATGCATACCAATGACTGTACTAAACACAAATGCTAGTTATGTCATAAGGTAAGCAACCTTTTTTCTTAGCAGTTTTGACTTTTCAGGTACTTGCAGAAAGCTTTGAGGAAGCGTTCCTTAGTATATTGATTGATCGCTCAGGCATATAGTGTTTCATGCAAATAAAGTGTTTAAATAACCTGCAGACATCCATGTTTTAAAATGTGTATGCAGACAGTAGTTGCTATGCCTTTTCCTATGTACTGGGTTTCTCTTAACGTCTGTTTTCTGTAGTTCTGTGGGGAGCTGCTGTTACTGTAGAGTTTTGTTTCTGGGTCTGAACTGTTGCTTCTTCACACTCTCTGCTTTTCACTTTAACCTGTGCGTGAATTAGAAGCTGTGTGAAATATATGTGCTGACTAGCTCTGTGCACTGATGGTTTGAGCTTCAGCTTTTAATGTCCTTGACTCTCACTAATCAATAGCAAGCAAAACAACTACAGCATGAGCAGTAGTTCTGTAAAAGGAAATGTCTGTTGCGTATTGTACTGGAAAACATGAGGGTAATGACTTTCCTTGAGAAAGATGCAATATTTTCTTCTTAAGAGTGCTGAGCACAAATGTTTCATTTTCTGCTGCCTGCTTGCAAAATGAGCACATCTTCCAATGTATCATACCAGAAAATAAAATAAAAACTCCAAATCAGACTAAGGAAAAACAAGTTAACATATTAAATGATGCTTATTAACCATGTAGAGGACTGTTAGCCCAAAATATTTTTGTCCTCAAAAATGCTAAGTAGACAAGTCAAGTTCTGCTATCTCTTGTTTCTAACTAATTTCACACTGAGAACAGCTTTATAGGGTTCTATATTTAAGTACATATAATTCTGTTTGACTCCTTTTCTCATTTTATGAACTTCTAGATCAATGAAACAAACCATTAAATAGATTGAATGCTGCCTGCAACACTAATGTTAATGACTTCAATTTTATTAAGCCTATTGGGAAATCTTTTACAGGTGGCAGCATCTATAAAATGACAAACTATGTATCCCTATCTGTGGCACATAAATTTAAACATTAGAGGAAAAGCTAGTGATATTGGAAAAGATATCTTTTTAAGATATTGCAGTATTTTGAAGAATTGTAAAGGAAAGCAAAACCTTTTAAGTTCTGGGTTACTATGAATAGTCTTGAGGTTAGTATGATGTAGTGTTGTGTACTGCCTTCCTGTTGTTGTCAGCAGCTGGAGCACATAAGAAGGTCAGGGCTCTTTATCTTGATGTACAACTTCATGGGATAGACAATTTAATATCTTCTGGTCCTAGTTTTTTCCAATTAGTAAGTAAATTCAGTTATATTGGAGAATCTGATCTGGAAAGAGAGACTAATGTGAAATTCAGATGCAGAATTTTCTGGGAATCCCTGGCCAGATTAGTAATAGGTTAACAATTTAACGATTAGTTAAGAGTTAATAAATTAAATTAACAGATTAACAATAAATTAAGAGTGTGTCCAAGTCTGTGTGGTTTTAGGACTTTGATATTAATTTTTTTGTCTTCTATTCATGCTTTTATCTTTAGGTAAAAATGCAATATTTACATATGTCATTAGAGCTTTTAATAACATGAATGAAAAATACTCTCTTAGTTCCTCATGAGGTAAAAGTGATGTTTAGAAATAAAGAAAAAGTTGTGTTAAATGTTTATGCTACTGTGTTCTGAAACACGAGGCAATATTGAGCCTGATGCATGAAAAATCCTAAGTATGGTTTTCTTCAGACAACTTTGTCTTCTGCTGCTGTTTAGGCATTGCTCAAATGAGGCAAGACATTATTCTTCTTTGTACAATAAACATTCTCCAGAAACCTGTCCAGGAGCCTTTCCTTGCCTTCCAATAAAAATGAGGTGACATTCTGTCCACATTTTGCCACAGCATTAGTGAGCACTGCTCATTGTGACAGTGGCTTAGATTCAAGAAGCAAATAAGACTAGGAATTAATTGTTTCATTTAATTTTCTACTTGGAATCAGAAACTGACAAATTTGATAAGAATACCTTTTTAGGTAATGCAACTACATCTTCTCTCTGCTTTCCTCCCTTCCACTCGGCAGTTTGAGCTTTCTCCATATAAATCATGGTTAATTTAAAAAGACCAGAGATACATGTCATGTTATGCTCGATTTCCTCCAGGCTGGAAAAAGTGAAAATGTAAATTGGTTTTTGTTCCAAAATACTCTCTTTGGATCAAAGCCCCAAGTGACATTTTGCTTAGGATAAACCGTATGTAGTTGATGCAGAGAGGAAGTGTAATGAGACTACATCATAGAGACTTCCAGTTGCTCAGCACTTCTTTTGCTTGTGCTTTCCCTTAAATGCTTGGGTTTACATGCATGATCTCCAAATTTATGCAGTGCATATGTAGAGACATATATGGAGAGTGGGTTGTGAGTGTATGAAACTTAGTTTTGAGTTGAGTTAATGCATCATTACAGGAAACTTTTATTTACTCTGGCAGAGTTTGGGTCTAGTTTGTAATGACCAAGATAGTTTGCCTGCAGACCTCAGATTTCAGTATTTCAAATCCTGTTGGAATAAAAAGGATTTCAGACAACTAAAATTTGTCATCTCACTTTGTGAAAAAATTTCAGAAGACTACCATGTTGTAACATTTTCCTTCATAAATGACTTATGTAAAAGCTTGTAGGGAGCATAGCTAGTGAGAAGTGATTGAGACTGTGACAGGCAGAAATTGAGCACGTGGATGTGTGACTATCCCCATAATAGTGATGTTCCCAAATATGTCAGTGCATTGTATGTTATGATGCCATTACCTACTCAGTTCTGGGTTGTGTGCTGGCTAAAGGAGGAAAAAAAATGGCTTTTTTACATATAAAAAGGATGGTGTTTATGAAAGGCTTTTCTTTCAGAATATGTTCAGTATGTATAAACATATGGCTTTTTCGCTATTATACTTCTATGCTTTCTTCTCTAATGCTAGCTTTTCTCTAGAAAACCTAAAACCAATTAGTCTTAAAGGCTTTTTATCCACCTCCCAATGTGAGTAAACTCTTAGGAAGTTACAGGTGATCCAGGATCTGACATACAGATCTGCAAGGCTCATGAGATAGTCAGCTGTGGTACTTGCAGAAAGCCAATTGTAGGATTAAAAAAAAAATCCTCACTGTTGGCTCAAGTGGAGAGCAGTTAGACTTAAATTTTATATCCTCAAAACAGTGTATGGCAAATTCGTTACAATGTTTGTTTAAGACTAATAATGAATACAGTACTTACTTCAAAACTTTGTGAATGAAAAGCTGATATTGGAAATAAAGCATCAGTAAGATACATTTTAAACTACTTATTATTTTCTTTATTGTCTTGAACACATTTGCATCTGAGAGACACAGATATATAATGTTCCCTTAATGGAAGAATGAAGTTCTGTCATGCCTTGTACAGGGAAGATGGATAGCTTTTTTACTCTCTTCCACTTTTATTTAGAGGTTTTTATTTTTATTCTACAATGTACTTTCCTCTGCAAGTCTGAGTGGCAGCTTACATAACAGCAGTGTTTTTTTTAAAACTAATATTAAACTACGAATCTGATAGCAAACCAAGCCAAAATCAGGCTTTGCCTCAACCTGCCTAACTGACTCCTTTTGAATTCTGAAAAGCCAGATGAGAGATTGGCAGTTAGAACATGAGAAATCATCTTCTAAATACCCACTGCCCGTACTGTTTTGCTTCTGTTAGGTCAGTGTCTCCAAATAGTCAGAGAGCTAGTTTACAAATTAAGTCCAGATTGCTTGCTGCTTAATGGGCTTGTAGCTTTTTCTACTTTCCCTGGAAATACTTGTTTAAAGCACTTCTGTTCAGTTTCTGTGTCTTTATATTTCAGTCCCTTTTCCTTGTTCCATTTCACCTGTGTCCTGTCAGAGCCTTCCTATCCCCCCCACCCTTCACTCTTTACTGCCCCACAATTATTCTTTACTTCTCCTTTTAATTTTTTGTCTTTTTTTTTCCCAGATTCCCTCCTATTAACTATTTTTCCTTTAAAAGGTATATTTATTGTGATTAATTCTTGTGCCTTCAATAGGACTTGCTTGACTCCCCTGTGGATTTCTTGACTCCTCTAGACTTCTCAAGTCCTAGATCTGAGTCTTCCACACTGGTTGTTTTAGACACCACTTTTGACTAATACACACACAGATGGAACTAAGAATATAAACAGATCTGTTGTCTACCTGTGTTTTCCATAGTACTGTACACTTAATAGTAGTTCATCAGTTAACTTCTCAAATGAAAATTCAGAGATGACTTTAAGCACAGCAATGTGATTCACTGTGATTGCAGCAGACAAGGTAAGGAACAAACTAAAAGGCCAGAAAGGTTTAACTTGTAGTGAGTTGCTCTAGTGTTATAAGTGTAGATGTGTGTTTTTATGTAAATACTTGTATTTGTCCTTTGCCTTAGTGTCCAAGACATATGCAGTCTCGCAGGTTTAAGAAAGCAAAATTCCACAGAGGAGGTCTGAATGACCTAGGAAATTTGAAAGGAAGGTAACAACCATGCAGTATACTGCTTTCAATTGTAGGCTACCAAAACGCTGATGATACTCTCTTTTCCCATCTAACCTGTAACTTCCAAACATCCTTCAGAAAATTACTTAGGAGATAATGATGAAATACAGTGACTCAGTAAAAATACAGCAGAAAGGCCTGCAAAAAACTTTGTACCATGTGCAGAAACAGATCCTCAAAACTCAAGCTCTTGTTAGGTGGAGTTTGCAACATGCATATACAATCATGAAGGTCAACGTGTTTTAAAGCATTTTTCTTGACATAGCTTGGCTTTTAGGGCAGTGATGTTAATACACTATGTGATGAACTGAATTTTCAGTGGTACGATTTTTGGTTTTAATTCTCTCATTTGAGAATTTCATGGTATGACAAAACAGAATTAATTAACTTCAAGCTATTTTATCTGTGTGAGAGGAGTCAATAGAAGCAGCAAGGACCTGGATTATCTAAGCTTCAGTAAGAGCACAGTTTCCGGCCAACAATCATGCAGTGTTCCTTACAAGTTCTTAAGATACTCATCACTCCATATGGATATGACTGCAAGAAACTCATCTTCTCAATGTCAGTCTAGTCTAGAGCCCTCCTCTCAGGTAAAACAGTCTCTGTGCTGAAGTGTAGCTGTTCTGAAACGATGCTCACTTCAACTGATACTGTATTTTTTTCTGTGAATTAGCCAGCTCCCTTTGTTTCTTCTTGATGCCTTACACTAAACCTTATCAGTTGTTTCAGAGAAAAGGAATTTTGCCACACCTTTTTGGAAATACAATGTGTTCAGCTTCTGAACGTGCTGCTTTCCTACTTTCAGGGTAGAAGTACTAAGAGTGCCTCAAGGTTAGAACAAGCAAGCAAATGCAATGTAAATGAATTATTTGTTGTTACTTAATTACTAAGAGTCAAATTCAACTCCTCTTGAAACTGGTAGCATAAGTCCCATTCATTTAAGACAAATCAAGCTCTGACTCCTTGATTTAAAATGCTGTGGAATATAGATAAGCTTGCACTCTTTATAAACATTGAGAACTGGCTAAAGCAAGGTAAAAAAAACAACAACCAAACAGACAGAAACTACTGATGAATTTTACATGTTCAGGATAATAGTGCAACTCTCACATGTTTTTTTTCAAATGTCATTAGAACAAGTAATGGTGACTGTCAACAGTGACGTACATAATAACTCAACTGCAGCAGATAACAACAGACTGGGTAAGAATGCTGTTCTAGGAAGTATTTATGCTATAGAGTCAGATTGTTGGATATTGCACAGGGCCTAACATAACCTTTTTAAAAGTTCTTAGCTTCAAACGGTCAGATAACATCTGGGGAATAGGTGCACAGGGTTTCTCCTTCATCTCAGAACAGAACATGACCCAAGGGTTTTTATTTGTGTTTCAATGTGCCATCATATTTAGTTGTTGATTTTTAAGTTCCTGTCAGTATTTAGAAACAACAAATTTTAAGATAATGAACTAACATTTCCCCCCAGCTCCATTTTTTTCTGACATTGCAAAGTCATTTAATGACTTGAAGGGCACGGGACTGTTTGGAGAAGCCAGAAAGGATGATAGAGCTAAGGTGTGAAACAAGGGTTACAGAGGAACCTGGTATTGTACTCACAGTAACTCTGTGGAATAGTGAAGTTCCCTTCACTTAGTTGTTGGACCAGACCAAATACAGAGAAATTGATTGTGCGTACAGGCTTGTTCACCATAGGCCTTAGTGCAACACAGGACACCTGACTGAGGTTTTTCTGACCCATGCATAGCACAGTCCCTGGTTGGAGAATTCTAGCTTTATTGCATTACAGCTTAATGTAAATATTTTTATTATAAAAGACAAATAAGTAGCATGCCATATAATTTTTTAATTAATAAGTAAAATCATTGGCCACAAGACAGAGCTAATGTCATTTTCATAAATTCATTTACGGTTTTTATTTAACATTGTATGTGTGCTTTGAATGCATTTTATGTTCATGTGTTTGATTTTCAAGTATTCATTTGTGTTTGGACTTTTGTATTTATTTTTCTTTGACTTTTTAAAAAGCATGATTTCTCATATTTTATTTTGTTTCTTTTAGGTTTTGTTTTATTTCATAAGATCCCACTGGATGGGTAAATGAAATAAGGAAAAGATGAGAGAGGGGCTGTTGAGCTTGTGGAAGCTGTGTGCTGCACACTAGGGAGTGGACAGTGTTCTTGCCCAGTGAAGTGCCACCTCCCTTGGACTTCTCTTTTAGACATTGGTTGTGCTTGGAGAGCTGTAGAAGTACATTCAAATCAGTACCTGTTTTCTGCAAGAGCAGGGCGAAGCCAAGCCCTGAGGCAGCTATAAAACTGAAGAAAGTCCAGAAATAAGCTATCACACTTTTCCCTATTGCTTTGTCCTTACAGTGTCTTTCAAAATGACATTGAGATGAAATTGCATTATATTGTTTCCTCTGTCAATTTTTTTTGTGTTTGAACTTAACTGGAAAGATGTTGTTTTTATAAATAATATTTATCAAAGATGAACTGCAAAGTTGCTTTAATTTTATTGCATTGTTGGCACTGCAAAACTTCTGCAAATCCTTAATTTGAGTGTGTGTGTAAACTCATTGATTTCAGTGGGAATGCTCACATCCTCAAAGTTAAGTTCACGTATATTTTCAAGATATGGCCTTAAATCCTAAAGCAGAAAACTGCAGAGCTGGCCCTTAAAATCTTATTTATGTGTGTGGTTCCACTGACTTTACCAGGAAGATAGAGAGTAAGAGCTGTATACAGAAAGGTGGCAATGCTGTCCATTAGTGTGTTTGGATATTGAACCAGTGCCATCACTTGCACATTCACTTAGGTCGTGCTTATTCAATATAGTTCATAAGTTTGGGTAAGTGTACAAATCTTTAGTTGGCTGAAATGCTGATTCTGAGCCAAGAGCAAGAATAACAACTCTGCACAATTGGTTCTTCAAGCCATATACTTAGAAGCCTTTTGAAATGTTCATATTTACCTGCGAAGTGTACTTCAGTGTATGCTTCAGTATACTTCAGAGGAGAGCCTGTTCTCTGCTGATGAGAATTTACTATAACAAGTAAAGCTAAGTGAAGGCAGAAGCATTTGGCAAGAGCTACTTTAGATATAGTGTTAGACTTCCATTTTCATGATACTTACCTGTCAAATCCTGAGTTTATAATTTGATCTTTTCAGTTTAGAGAAACATACGAAAGATGAAGTTCTGTTTTTTTTAACAGAGAGTTAGTTACAAGATTAGCAGCAAAAGACTGAGATGGATGCTTACATTTCTGTGCATTTTCATTACAGGTCTAAGCTGTGGTTTGATTCTAATTCCTTACAATTACACTTAGTAAAAAAGAAGAGATGGTATTGTTTTGTCTCTCCTGTATTTGCTTTTCATTGTCTTTGCTTTTTAATTTCAGCCATTTTCACTCTTCCATTTGAACACTGTTGTCTTTTCTTTTACTGCAGTCTTTTACAGCATATGCCATCACTTTCTTTCTACAATACTGTCTTGACTATTGTTCTATCTCCATGTACTTACTTTTTGCCTTTTCAAACTCTTAGTCCGTTGACTTTTTTCTTGTGTTCTCTTCAGTCTCTCACATCCAAGTTCTTTACTCCTGCTGTGCTCAAGTTTTGGAAATTGCCTTATTAATCAAGAAATATGTCCACATTTACATTCTTCCAGGTCTATGTAGTGAGATACTTCCTTTCTCTTGCCACTGACTAGGGAAATGGAGTTGTAGTTGCTAAAGTGCTTTCTTCACATCTCCAAAACCTGTCCCAAATATGTGTTCTTCTCCCCACATTAAAGAAGAGGGCAGAGCTGGAAGTCTGCTGGTGACCTAGCAGTTGTGGTGTTTTTATTGCCCTCCATGTACTGTGGTGATTTGGGAAGGGATGGCAGCAATTAAGGATATCCATCATAGTTCCTGTTTGAAGTTAATGTCAACAAGTGTTCTGCAGTTCCTCAGAAACAATATTAAGAATGTCTTCCCTTTTTCCTCACTAAGTCTATGTGGACATGGTCTTATTTTAGACGGATACTAACTTTCTTTCCTGCTTACTGATTATTTTTTAACTTCCTTTTAATTATTTTCTTCTCAAATTTCTTGCTTACCTGTGAATCTCTCCTCCTGTTGAAATTATATCTGATGTTATTCTAAATCAATGGAGAGTCTTTTAGATGAGCAATATTTGAACTAAAGTCAGTGGAGTTACATCAAATGTAAGTTGCATCAAGAGCAGAGCTTGACCCAGTAGCCCAGATTCCAGTCCTAAGTTTTGCTGGGACAAATTCAACATATTTCAGTTATGTATTCACAATGTATTGCCAGATAAATGAGGTGAGAATCTGAACCCTTTTCTTTTGGCAGGGAAAAGGCAAACCTGCAGAGCTGGAATTTAGCAGTTGATTTTTGAAGTATTTTATTTTAAAAGTTAGTTCTTTCTTATTAATAATATTTATATGCATAAATGTGCACAGTTATTGATTGGGGATTTTACGTGTTTTTTAATAATTTATTTTGTAGCACTTTGCAGTTCATCTTTATGGTATAGGATTAGGTTTGACCTTCAAATATTTCAGCATGTACTGACACAGTATTTTGGATTTTATGTAATCATGGACGTAACTTTA